CTCTCTCTCTCTCTCTCTCTCTCTCTCTCTCTCTCTCTCTCTCTCTCTCTCTCTCTCTCTCTCTCTCTCTCTCTCTCTCTCTCTCTCTCTCTCTCTCTCTCTCTCTCTCTCTCTATATATATATATATATATATATAGTTATAGAGTCAATGTCAATGGCACCTCAATCTCCCAATTAGAAAATAACTATACTATCTCAATACTATGTTTCATTGGCAATGACTGATGGCGTATCACGGCGCGTCATTGTAATGTCATAGCACAGCATGAGATACAAGTATACCACTATCCGACATATGCAGAGGTTACGAATGCTGAATAATGATATATATATTCATGATTTATTTGATGATGATAAAGAAAAATGCGCATCTTGCATTCCACGAAGACGGTTACACAAAAAGGATCGAATGTGTCAGAAATAAATATTTTTTCCCAGACCAACGTTTGTGCTCAAATGATTGAATGTTTTTGTTGGAGTTTCTTTACGTCTATTAATAGTGTGGAGTATTGGCGATGTACTAACTAAATAAGAAGCTAGCAATAAAGGAAATACATTGCTTTTCGTTCTAAGATGGATTTTATTCACGCATATTTTTACTTAAATTTACGCTAATGCCCTGACCTGCTATTACAGGATTTCTCCTTTTTCTATTCACCATATTTATACACAGAGAAATAAAACCGATCACTATTTTTGTGGAACCCATAGACTCCTGCCAACAACCATAAATTGCAAATGTACGGTTAGCATTATAATACACATCTGAGTATTTTGTAAGACGCGTGGCCCTATATGTATATGGAGTATTATCATACACGACAAATTCACTTAGCAGCCACACACAATGTCGCGAGACGTGCAAAAATAGATAAATATTTGTAAAAAGAGAAACATTTCATTTCATGCCGGTAAAAAAAGAATCACGACGACATTTCCCACACACTAGTACTAGCGATAGCACATTCGTCACTACAACATACGTTACCTATAAGGTAATTTAGACCCAATCGCATTAAGCATATAGAAATCACACACTATTTCGCTACGCTAACTACTGCGCATGTGCACGTACAGAAACCCTGGCACAAAGAAGTTTGTACAACTGCAATATAAAATAAGAGCTCTGTTAAAAATAAAAATACTCCGAACGTACACACATACGCTTCTAAGCACCACCTACAAAACCAACTGAATGATTGGCTGCCACACACTAGTTGCCCTTTCTAATGATCACATGAATAAAAATACGACGAATTCCCATCCTTCGAAATATAATACGCTTCTACGCTTTCTAAAGCATCAAACGCTTTTACTGTAGAAAAGCAAATAGTACGTAAACTTGGATGAGAGTTAATCGCTACATCACCCCACACCCAACCAGACAAATTACTACACTTAGATTGTTCAGAATCATCTCATTGCACGTGAATAAAATTGATGATTTTAACCGATATCGGCAGAACGTAATGTTCAGCGGAATGGTCTTTAAAAGTCACCTGATTGTCTAAGTAGAATAAAATTCTCAAAGTACATATGCGCATGTTTCAATTAAGCTTTCCAATTACAATCGATAACTTTATACACAATAATCAATGTGGCATACTCCATTTTCACGCTGACATAATAAAAGTACCCATGGGATTAGCTAGCTAGGCCAACGAATTACTTCAGAAAGATAAAATTATGATCGCGGCTACATTATACATCAAAACATACCGACTTCACTTATCTGATTGGAGTGCCACAGTAGCATTCATGATCATATATAAATCAATCGACGGTATCGCAAACAGAATAGTTTAACATTATACCGACATAGTGGAAGAAATACATGCATGAAATACGAATAACTCAAGGTAATATAGTGTGATGTTACCTGACTTTTTGCTTTGAATGTTCCCATTCAAAGTAACGTGCACACTAAGGTTAAACCACTCCCACCCCCTTTTGAAATATAGCGCCACTGACTCTGATGCCAAAATGATTGCATAGTCCCTACTTTATAAACTGTAAACAAAATTCTCTGAGTATATGTGAGATTTTTTTCAACTTGCTCACCGCAAGAAACATCAGGGGAAAGCACGCATCCACATCCAGTGACAGCTAAAAACTGTAAGTCTGTATGTGGCTGTGCGTTAACTAACTACAACCAATCATGTATAGCAAATTAAATAGCAGTCTCATTGCAATCCTCATGCGATTGCTTCCAGCCAATCTAAACATAATTCCATCACTGGGAAAACATTGCTGATTGCTATTGCCACAAATCTATATGCTAGCAGGAGTGAATATATAAACAATGTTTCTATTCACTCCTGATACCAGTTAAGTATAGTAGCAAGAGTAAATCATTGTAATATATTCCAATATCCCCAACTTATGGTCACGATATAATGTATTCGTTCCGTCGCGCCCTGGAGCCCATTACGTGTTTTGCGTCACCTTACCGTGTCACTTTCGCCCTGGTTTTCGGACTTCCGGTGGGACTGGATGTTGGTGTTAGCTTGTCGTTTAGCCACCTCGCCCGTTGAGCCACTGACGGGCTGCCACCGGCTGGCTGTGCTGCTGCTTGAGACTTGGACTCGGCACCCGGACGCGGTGGAAGGGCAGGTAAAGCCCCAGTCACCAACGGGAAGCGTTTCCCACTAGAGGGCAACCCAGGAGCGGGTCGGGTGGGACTAAGTGGGACTTCGTCGAACTTGGAGCCAAAAGGGGGAACCACCGGAGCAGCCCGCACCGGTGCCATCGCTGCTTTCGATGTGGAGGGTGCTGCAGTAGCCCCGCGAATGGGACCGTGTTTCGCGGCACCCTCTTCACTATTGATGGGTGGCGGTTTCGGCCACGAGGACTGGATCGGCTGCCTAGCCGCTGCGGGTGGCTGGATGACTTTGGCGGGCGCCTTTACAGCTGCCGCAGTCCGCGCCTGGGGTTTCGCGGCTGTCTTGTTAACAGGTTGCACCACTCGCGACGTGCTTGCTTCCGACTGGTTGCGTTTCACGGGATTTCCAGTAGCTGATGGCAGCTTGTGGGGCGAGGAGAACGACTGAGCGAGCGCGGTGACGCGCGATCCTGTAGGTGCACCTCTGCTCCCACCCTCCCCTGCTCGACCCCCGACCCCTTGTTGACCTGCCCGACTCCCAACCCCTTGTTGACCCGCCCAACCCCCGACCCCTTGTTGACCTGACCGACCGCCGACCACAGCCGGTCGTGTCCCGCCACCAGCCTTCCGCACCCCGTCCTGCTTCGGTTGCTCCACTAACAGAGGTTCTGCATTGACCGCGGGCGGGTAGGTGGCAGCACTTGGTGTCGCGGGTGCCTTGGCAGAACGACGGAACCACGCTGACCACGGCCATGTTGTCTTCGCCTGTGATGATCCGGTCGGGGTTGTTGGGCTCTCTGGTGAGCTCGCCTGGCTGTGCTGTGACGTCACAGAGCGTGGCCGTCCCCCACCCGACTGCTGCACACTGAATATTTACATAAATAATAATTAAAATAAAGAATTAAAAGTTAATTAAGTTATGCATATTTTATAATTCATTAATTAATAATTAGTAAATTGGTTGTATTAATATAATTCAATTTAATTAATTAATAATAATTATGTTACATTAATAAATTTCCCCATCTTTGTTCCTCGCCTTGTGTAAAAAATTATTTTTCTTTTTGAGGAATATGAAGTGTACTGGTGGTTAACGTTTGTTCTAAGCCCCTAAAAATTTGATCTCAATGATGATGTTTTTGCAGATATTTCAGATGAGCATGACACACCAATACTATACGATATAGATTACGTGAGAAAAATGTGCAAACTTTAGCTCAATGTCAACAACGTTTGGATACATTCACATTTAATCCCGTGCTGCAAACAATGTCTGCCAGTGCTTTGCCTCATTCCACTCAGTACACTAGCAATCACGTGAAATATGCCATTACAATAAACGCCGTCACTTCACACTGTCACACGTTAGTAGTTAAAAGCTAATCTAGAGCAACAACAAATCGTGAAATCCATCTCACCTCTGTCTCTTTGCGACTCGATGTGGCAAACAAGGAATGCCTGGTCCCCTCACGTGGTATATCAACAGTATGACGAAGATGACAGGAAGCAAAACTACGAAGAATGTCATTGACCCTATGAGGAAATTCTTTGAGCCTATAAACAGAGTAAAGTAGTAAGCACTGTTAAGTGGTGACAGTAACCTCTGATGAGAATATAACCTTGCATGCAATGACCGAACACAATAATCCTGTGAGAAAAGCTGGTAATTAATGTAAACCACTACTTATATCACCACGAAACCACTTTGGATCAGTGCAGCACAGTTGCGTGTGATTCGTACAGATAAACAGATATACACATTCAACTGGCTGAGATGCACTTTACCAAGTAGATCTGATCAAAAAATCTGCCACGAGGTACCTCCAATGAGGAGCTTCATATTAAGGGTTGAGATGCCTACTCATCTCACATAATATAGGTTGTGTGGTTAACATCAGGTGGTGCCACTCACCTCTGTCATCTGCTGGGGGACCACTGTCCTCACTTCCACCATAGCCCGGCGTATCACAATAAGGTGGTGCATACCCTTTATTGCAGTGGCAATGTTTTTTGTTGTTGCAAACCTAAATATATAAACAAATTAAGGTGCAATGAGAACGGAGCGTAATAACATTCAATTAACACTATTGTATGTTATTGCTGTTGAGTAGTTGCGTATCCGGACAACTACCCCCTGGACAACTACCCCCTGGACAACTACCCCCCGGACAATTGCCCCCATAGGACAACTCCCACCCGGACAACTACCACCCAGACAACTACGCCCCTAGGGTTAGGGTGAGGGTTAGGGTTAGGGTTAGGATTAGGGTTAGGGTTGTCCTAGGGGGGGTAATTGCCCTAGGGGGGTAGTTGTCCGGGTGGCAGTTGTCCGGGTAGTAGTTGTCCTAGGGGGTAATTGTCTGGGTGGTAGTTGTCTGGGGGGTAGTTGTCCAGGTGGTAGTTGTCCTAGAATAGAGTAGTTGAGTATGTTATATCGTTATATAGCAACACCAAAACATGTTGCACACTGTAGGCATATTATGTAGGCGTTTAATTTACTCTTAATCTGAGCTCAATTTTTATTTTTCTACAATGGTTCTTGCTCACCCCTTGTCCATGGCAGGATTCCAGGCATGCAATATCCAGAACATCTTTAACGCCAGTGCAACGCTGGGATACGCACATCTGGAAACATCAAAGCTACATATATAAGCATTTAAAACGTCTGACAGACCCTGTTCACACACAGAATTGAAGAGAGTGGAAATGCACTGCTAGCTGCTGCAAATGTAAATGTACAGTTGCAACCTGTACTGCACTGCCCCTATGTATGCACTTTCAACGAAAGATTGTGACTTATAGTCCAATGTGATCGCTAACCACCTTACCAGGTGGTTTTGGTTGGCTTTCATGCATTAAAAGATATTATCATGACTGAGATAATACTTAAAGTGATTACGTCACCGTAAATAGTGAAAGTAAAAAATTATGTCTGCTTTTTCACAAAATGTAAGTGATTCTGTTCACTTTTTATGGTTAAATTGCTACATTATACTTCCTACGTGTCCTATTTTGCTATTCTGTTCGATGTGAACAAACACTCGTGACTCATACATAGCCCATGGCAAGCATTTAATGTCGTGATCAATACATCAAATTGCCCAGATTTTTTGCATTTTTAACTAGTTGAAAAACAATCTTATCAGGTAAGAATTTGAGGATACACTTAGTGCCATTAATACTTACTTTTCATGTAAAAAATGGCCACAAAATTTTTACAAATTATATACACCATAGAAAATTCGTGACGTAGTCAATTTAACACTGATCACTCTTCATCCCAATCTGACATGTTACAATGAGCATGGCGACACTTCAGTGTGAAAACCAGAGGCCCGTTGTCAGAAACAAAATTAGTCTTAACATTAGTCTTAAAGGGAGAGTTTACTCAAGGTTCAAGGGTTATTTTTAGCTAATTTGGGTTATAATTACGCTACATAAAAAGTTTCATGGTTCAATCACCATTAGAAATATTGTTAAATAATGTTTTAAAACTAACGACTACAGTTTTATTACAACGACGGTGGCGCCACTCAAAGCTTACGATCTGATAAGTTGCGCAAAACCACTTTCCAGCCAAGGGCTACAGACCGAGGGTGTTTCTTATTTATTCATTTAAAAGCAAAAGGATTGTAATATCTTATAAACGACATATAGTTTCAGTTATAATATGGATAAATTTGCCCTAAAATGAATATCGTTCGGTTAAATAGCATTTAGGTATAAATATAATTGCACTTTTGTGATTAGCCCTCGGTCTGTAACGTGCAAAAAAATTGTCAAATACGCAACTTTTTCGGGGTGGCAGCACGGTCGCGGATGTCATGGCGCCGTTCAAATTTCGTAGCGTTGATGTGTAATTAATTATAACAATTAAATTAGGTATCTGGTAACAAATACGTGTGGGTATAGACGATTTGTTATACAGTAAGTACAGTTGTATGCAGTAAAATCCTAGAGGCTACTGTCCCTTTAACATTAACTTCCACTCGTTAACCGTTGACAGAAACATCGTAATGTTACGAGAACGAAAAATCCTCGCAAATATCCTCTTAACATTACGAGAGCCCAGACCCTCTCGTAACTTTAATATTAAGTTGAAAATAACACATTTACACTACGAATTACAATTATAGTGATATTATATTTTATAATAATGAATAAAATGTGTTTTTCTTGAAAAACACGTCAAAATCATTAATTATCTACTGCTAATAAAACAAAATATTACATTTACAAATGGCGTATGGCATTTGTTCTCTTGTTTTAAATGTTTACCATGCTTGCCACAACTCTCGCGTCTCGCGTTACAGAGTGAGAATTTGTCTTGTTGTGCAGAATAAATTCATGACCACGTCATTTTTCATCAAATATTATTTATATGTGGTTAGCCATCATAATATGCATAAATTACTGTGATGTACAATAAATGTGTATGAATTTGAATTTTGTGATCGATTTTCATCCAATCAGCAAGCCTTGTGACATGAAATTATGAAGTTCCTGTAATCGTGAATTTGTTAATGTGAGTTTGTGTTTCTGTCAACGCTACTCTCGTAGCATTAACATTAGTCGTAAATGTTATCGTAGTATTAACATTAGCATTAACTTTACGATGTTTCTGACAACGGGCCCCATATCTAACCAGGCTCAATCCATGACCCGCACACAGCCACAATACATACCATCTCATTTCCGCACAGTGCGCCATCTGGTGTCATGCCAGGGTCGGTAGAGTCGAGACCCATGTCTATCTGGAGGATGTGGCAGAGCTCCATGACTCTGTCACTTGTAAAGATGGACGACTTGCCGTGAATGGTGCTGACATCTATACCGAACACCGGCGTCGTGCCCAGCGGCACGCAGTTCAGTCGTCCACACAGGACATGGCTAGTATAACAGAGGTCAAACGCTCAGAGGTATGCATGCATGTATGCCTCCTGCTACGCACAACAATGTAATTAGCTCGGAATAAATTTCAAAGCTGAATTACCCGAGTAGCTGATAGTAAGTGTATGGGCATGTACAGCGAGTTATAGATATCATTTATGATCGACTTGGTATCATCATGACTGTCATCAGCTATCATAAATACATTGCTTCATTTGATTGAAGGTTTGATTCTGCCACAATGGTATTCGATTCTTAACAAACCGCTGTCGTTACATCTAAATATTTACACGTTGCTCTGCCAATCGTCTACTGTGATTACTGTAACTTTTTTTATCACGACGGTAAACCAGAAATGCTCGCCGCATCATTGCTTACTTTCCCTTGCGAGGACACTGCAGGTAAGTATCAGTGACCCTGTTGTATCCACAGTTACCAATGACAACACCACGTGTGTTCTTCTCAAAGCACTCATTGGGCCCCACCTTTACCGCTTGCCCCCAGAGCAGCTTGCATCGCTGATCGTGACTCCCACAGCTGCCGTGGTAGCAGTATCCCTGAAATAGAATAACGAAGACACAAATAGGTTAATACACACACCCTCGAATGTTAGAGTGCTGTTTACTGATGCAGAAACTTCAATATAATGGCACTGCTGATCAGCAAACACTGCCAACTAAACAATGATCTTTATAAATCGGGTAAAAGAAACAAAGACGTGTAACAGTAACTGAAAAACAATACTAATAAAAAACACATAAACATCACTTTAAAAAACTTTAATAGAATTTGCCTACAATTAATTTCCCGATAACCCTCGGAAGTGGCAATGGTAACAAGCGTTTGTGTACAACCCTCAAACATAGAAATGGGATCAACCACATGCAGTTACCTGATTATTATCGCAGGGGATGCCATCTTGCTTGGTGACGTCACGCGGACAGAACTCCACTTGGCCAGTACAGAATTCAGGCAAGTCACACTCATCTACAGCATCCCTGCAAGATGTCCCGGCCTCCAAGAGCTGCGGAAAATGAGGCAAGCTTCAAATTATCCTAAAGATCAAATGCACGGATCAGCATGACTGGCACAATGCATGTATTACTTTCATTAGATGATATACGTAAACATATTACTCCAGGTACAAGATTAGCAGGGCAGTGTTACTAATCACATGATCATACATATTGACTAACAGTATAGCTATAGTTAAGTTTGTTTGTTTGTTTGTTTGTTTTGAATGAAGATAAACGAATACAATTACTACAACTGAAATTGAAGCAACACTTTCAATATGTTCATGTGACTATATGCAATAAATGATTAAAAAATTCCATTGGATCAAGAGCTCTTGATTGGATCTATATGATCACAGGAAAATAAAATTAACCTGAGTTAGATCCATGGATCTAACTCAGATTAACTTTATTTGCTTATATGCAATCAGCTAAGATTTCTTTGTCATGAGACACATAATAGCTGTTTTACTCAGATGGTATACTTTATTTATCCAAGATATAGATTCTAATGTTATTACAGCGGCGCAACACATTCATCCTCAGGGTTTCATATACATAAGATAGTGTAATTAAAAGGCACAGTGGCGCACTGATGTTGTCAAATTTAACCATCGTTTTATCGCCATTGTGAAAATGTTCCTGTATTTACCCGCCGTTGTCAAAATAGTGTCAACCCAAAAATAAATAGATCACCACGTGCTTCTGCCATATTTAGATTGTCATGTGCGTTTATTGAGTCATGTGACGCGGGGACTTTTGGTCATGTGATGCGTTATTTTTTCTCAAACTGGCCATTGCCTCCTTTGTATAATTTTCCCTCAGAAGAACCCCTGATCCTAGTCATTAACCTCCATAGAGCAGGTTGATGAATGGAAAGCTTCATCAGATCAAGAGATCATTGCTGGGTCTCACACTGCTCAACCACCCTCATCCCCTCCCCCTACATAACACCCACAGCCAATACTACCACCGTACAGCACCTTGCATGTTGTGAGATCACAACAAAGACCCGAGCCACAGGTGGCGTTGGCATACAGCTGACAAGTAGAAGGGTTGCAACACGGACTATCGCACATCTGGAGGAAAAGAAAAAAAGGTTCCAGCACAACTGTTCACCAGGATGCAAAGATATACTATTCACTATGTAACTGTATTCATCCGCTCAAACTCAGACATTATTTGCGATTTAACCGATTCTAAATGAAAGCAAACGTGACTTGCAGATGAAACAACAAGATTAGTCAACAAAGTGATAAAAAAATGTAAAATATATAGCTAGGCTATCAGACAAAATGACAAGATGGCAGACAAAACGACGCGACCGTCACACGAAACAACAAGTGAGCAATGCACACTCACGCCTTCAGGACCACAATCGCATTGCTCTCCCTCCTCCACATAGCCATCCCCACACACTGGCCCCTCGAACACCGACACCGGCTTGTTCCTCAGACACCAGTCGATGCCGCGGCTCACAAACATTGCGAGTTTTTCAACGGAGCAGCTCGAGAACTTGGTGGGACTGAACCATTCCCTGCAACAATAGCAAACAGGAGAAGGTGAGCAATTCACGCATTTTCACAGATTTTTTTGCAAGGATTTTTGATAATCGGATCACCTACTTTCAGGAGTGAATAAAATAGTATTGAAAATATGTTTCAACATTCGTAAACAAGGATCATATCTTATCTTATCTTGTTTTGTTGAGATGGCAGGCCTACTGTGCCAACTTACCCCGAGGAGGAGGCAGCCATGACGCATTTCTTGTCATCGCACGTGCATTTATCTGTGTCATGCTCCATTCCAAAGTTATGCCCCATCTCATGGGCCAGTGTACTGGCCACTGGCATCTCTATGCGACTGTGGTCCTGCAACATAAACCCACCAATGTCTTAGATGTGTGTATATAACTACAATTTACTCAATAATGGCTAGTAGTTACTCTATGATATCACAGTCTATGTGATATATTTACAGTGAACAACTAAAATGTAATACATTCAAACGCCATGGATCCACATACATGTTAACACGTGTTGCTGCTGCTGCTGCTGCTGCTGCCGCCGCTGCTGCTACTACTACTACTACTACTGCTGCTGCTGCTGCTGCTGCTGCTGCTGCTGCTGCTGCTGCTGCTACTACTACTACTATTACTACTGCTGCTGCTGCTGCAACCGCCACAGCCGCCGCCACCACCACTACTACTGCTATAACTACTTTTTTTATTGATTTAATGATGGTACACTGGTGAAGGTAAAAAGATCAGCATACGAGTAAAACGTAATGTATTCACATTCCTAAAGAGTATCAACACATGACTGCACTTACAGCAATTACTCCTGCCGAATATTGGTAGCTGCACATCAAACCCTTGTAGGCTTTTCCAACAACGCTGTTCTCAAATACTTCGTTACCACTATATAAACAGGTAGAAGCACCTACATGTATATTTACAGGTATATATATATATATATATTCATTTGCATACATATGTATTTATATACACATATATTTCATTGCCTTCTTTTCAATGATATGACGTATATATATTGAACTAGTCTAGACGACCTACCTAGTGTATGATGTCAATAATAAAAATGCTTTTTTTACCTCATCAACTGAGTATTGTCATTGCGATGGTTTGGTAGAATGTGCTGTTTCCGGTAATCCAAAAACCGTGAGAGCGTTACATCACCATCTTGAGACAGTTCTATCTTGTCACGTTCATTCCACACTTCTACTCCAACAAGAACTATGAATATATTGAGCGGCTTGTATATCTAAAAACACGCATAATGTTGCACGTTAATTGCTATTGTCAGGTACTCCCTATTTGTTCTATGGTTTGAAAGTAATACAACACCAGAGGCAATTTTATTAACAGAAATTGAAATTTGTATTTACAATTTATGTACAATAATAATTAGGGGTGAGTATTGCGACCAAAAACCGTATTGCAATATATTGCAATATGACAAAACCGTATTGCAATATTTTCCAATACGTATTGGGAAGTGTATACCATGCATGATATAGTAACAATTTGACGGGTTTTAATATCATCATATATTGTATTATATGACATGATTTAATTTCTCATGTTTTTCTTGAGAAACAGAAGCACGGCAATGTTTTCCGCTGACAGTGCAGCCCTCTGTGCCGTAACAATGTCACCCGCTGTACTGAATACCCTCTCGGAAGGCACTGACGTAGCTGGAATACACAATACCCCTGCTGCATAATTGGGTGCTCGTTTCAGCTTGTATCGCGCGCGCGCGGGCACTCAGGTGAGCATAGGCTATATATAGACTCCCTAGTTGCCGTGCTCTGTGCCTCGCGCACACGGCTGCCCAACTCTGCCCGCGCAGTAGTACCGCGCAGTGCTCCATGCAGTGGCCGCTTACCAGTAATACTGTATGCGTCGTGCACGCATTGTGCTTTCGTAATATATATACCGCCAGTGCATAATTTTCGAGCCCATTAACAATATAGACATAAAGGCAAGTGTCAAGTAATTTATTTCTTGTTATACCACCGTATCGTAAAATATCGATATCCGGAAGTTGTATCGCGATATATCGAGTTTTCAAAATATATTGCAATATACCGATATACCGGTATATCGTTACACCCCTAATAATAATGCAAGATGATGTATGATACCATGCATTGCAGTTTGTACACACGAGTACTGGAAAATTTATAGGTGAAACCAACACACAACTTTACATATAACTTACCACGTTAACAATATTTGAGATTTTCTTTGCACGTTCTATAGCAGCATCCAAGTTTGCAGAATGGTCATACTGTCAAAACACAACAAATGCTATCTGTAGACTGCAATTCTCTTTGTAGTCGCCACATACCATTTCCTTAACCTAGAATTCCACTAGTTACTCTTACAAAATATTGTCAGGAAATAGCGAATAATGATGCTACACTGCAATTTTATATGACCAATACACCATGTATGTACCACTAATGCATTTCCTTAGTTATTTGCACTATATTTCTGTTTGAACAATGCCTATTTCATCCCCACCATCTACATTCCGACTGGCATAAAACAAAAAAATGAATTTGAAAAAACAACAACACCAAATATTAGATCAGGGAAGAGGACAGAATAAATCAAACCTACATTCAAGGTAAAGTAGAATAAAGGTGTTTGAAAGCGTCGATTCATCACTATAGATACCCTTTGCTCGGAGGATAAATATATATGACAGATATAAGAAAGGTATTTACCAGCAGAATGATGCAAACACCTACCCTCATGGTAGACTCACCATGGTCTTGTCGATGACGAGAAACAGTTCAACATGCAGGGGATGTTGTCTGGCACCATAGGGTTCAGATAGTTCCCGTTTGAGCCTCACATGGCTTTTACCTCCACCTGCATCCACCTCACGGATGCGGTGCGTATCGCCTGTACATACATCAACACACAGTGAATCTGTTATGACAAGGCGGTACATTGCTGCTTCAGACATACAGAATGTATCTGGTAATTTTTCTAAGTCACATAGCAATGGCTCATTCAGAACTATATATATCACTTCGATTATTTATATAAAGCACCATCTGTTAGATTCATGCACAGTGCACAACCACCTCGAAATATGTATAAGAGTAAAATAAGGACATAAAGCAGAAAATGGTCTATAAATAATCGTGAATATTAAAATATATAACCAGTATTCTTGTCAACATGAGCTACATGGTTGTAAGCATAAATACATTCCTTACACAACACAAACATTGCTTCTTTATGTTCAAGTCATTATATACATACTTTTCTTAGATGCAATTCTGTCTTTCTCTTTGTAAACAAAATGCTCATTGCTTTCTGATTCACCCCTTGGCTCTATGTGGTAGGTTTCATTGTTATCCCTAAAAAAACCACTGAAATAACAAAAACATCACCTATAAACTAATAGTATAGCTTACTCCTTATACACTGTAGCTCCTGGTATAATTACTCCTCTTGTTTTCTGACATTTTTAACACAAATTCAGCATCCTTGGAATCCAGAAGCAGAATTAACTATGCTATTGCTTCAGGTTTACCTTATTCCTGAACAAGTACTGATTGCTGCTATTGAATCCGGGAACCCTTGTATATGTCCATGGTAAAAACAACTGGATTTAGCCTACAACAAAATATAGCACTATTATATATATACCACGTCTTCTCTTCTCTTTGCTAGTGCATGCACTTGCCAAAATTCTTCATGGTGATTGCCATATAGGAACCGTCACAGAGATTTTATCAATTAAAGTAAAATTATTCGCTACTTGAAGTGAAAATGTAATAATTACGTGTATGTACATAATGTAATAATGTATTAATATTTAAGGTATTACAGGTATAAACATGAAACAGTGACTGCATTCAGAAGTTACTTGTTATAGCGATATAATAGCTGTAAACTTAATATGCAAACATAAAAAAAACTGTTGCATACATACATGATCTGATCCATTTCTGATCACAGGACTATCATTTATGTAGTACTTTTCTATATAAGATCTTGCGATGAGACCACTGCAAAAGAATTATATACTATATAGCGACATTAAAACAGAGCTATTATTTCATCTAAAGCAAATAAAGTGTTGCTTATTCAGGAGAGAAGAAAATGCATATGTAAGAAATGCAACTTGACATTAGTGAAAGTAAGTGACACTGCTAAAATAAACTTGTTTAGTAGATAACTTCTAGATTTGTACCTATTCAATTTGAGATCCAATATGAATTCTCTACCAAATGCTGTTATTATGATTATTGTTTCTGTGCCATGATCAACCTGCAAAACACAATTTGTAAGTGTGAAAGCACAGTAGAATGCTTATAACCTGTTAATCCAAACTATGTTCCTAAAAGTTACATGGGTTTAAACTGATTATTTGCGAAAAATACTGCAATAATACGGTAATATATACGCTACATTGCAATTCATACTCTAGGAATCCACTAAATCTTCTGTGTGGGGTACCATCTTTAGACCAAAAATATTTCACAGAGATATAAACTTTAATTTAAAGTTTTCTACTCGATGATTGAGTCATTGTTGGATTACACAATCGTTCATATTAAACACCCTACTGGAATGAATATTCGATACATAAAATAGTGATTAGTGGAGTTTTGTATTTGCTTTTACTCATCCATACCTGCTCTGCCACTGACAACTGGCGCTTCAGTCGATTGACTGTCTGGTGTGGTATCGTTGTATCATAATCACTAAACAGAGTTAGAGGTTTCCTCAGATCCCAGTGTGAATCTGCATGGACCTTGGCTGTAAATCACAACATAAAGCTGTCAGTGATTCTTCACACAATCCATCAACTTCTCAGGTGACAGTCATTTACAGTAGCTTCATATGAGCCTGCAGGAATATCACTACAGCACCAACAGCAAGTGATGTGTCTCTGACCATCTTACTTGCTTTGGTGCCCCTGACACTTTGTTTACCTGCTTTTTCTCACTGATCTTTCCACAAATTTCACTTTGGAAACATATTTCTCGTTACCCCACAAAAAAAAAAACATTTTCAACAAGAGTAAAATGGCTCGATAACCCTTCTTTGAAGGTAATGTTGGCCTTGCTGACCCTCTAATTAGGCTGCTGGACATTATGTCCTGAAATTTCTGATTAAGTGAAGGCTACTCATTTCATGTACTGAAAAATCTAAATTGGAATGCTGACCCTTATCAATTATGAAAGCACTACATTTGACCATGTACTCAACTGTGTCTATTATGTTATCTGTGAACTCATAGCTTATAGATGGTGTAATTGGATAATCACTTGATTAAAGGTTTTAATTGTGATTGCTCTTCTGGTACATCTTTTAGGCAAGATTTTCTGTAGAAGTGCATCTTCAATAATATAATCATAATATAATTCACTTGAAGAATATGATTTATGTTACAAATTTCAGATCAGGCTAATATCAGGATAGGGGTAGGGTTATAATGACTACGTATTACGTAATTAAGTTTTACAAGGACCACAATGTAAACTAGAAAGAGCAGTTGTCACCAACTACATGTATCCCACGTGTTCTCCCTAAGATGCGTAAGTATACGAAGTTTGGTCGCGCTAGGTCAATTAGGGACCGAGTTATAGAGCAGAAGGAAAATATGATGAAGGTCAAGGTCAAGGTCAAGGTTAAATAAAGGTTGCAGTGACCTGGTTTCGGTACACGACACACCTTCTCCCCCAAGATGTGTAAGTATACCAAGTTTGGTCGCACTAGGTCAATTAGGGGCCGAGTTATAGAGCGGAAGGGAAATATGATCAAGGTCAAGGTCAAATAAAGGTCGCAGTAACCTGGTTTTGGTACGCGACACACCTTCTCCCCAAGATGTGTAAGTATAGCAAGTTTGGTAGCGCTAGATCAATTAAGGGCAATTGAAGGGAAATATGATCAAGGTCAAGGTCAAATAAAGGTCGC